GCATTTAGTGCTAAATCCCATCCATTGGTGCCTTTTATGGGGTACCAGGATTTAGCACACACACAAACAACATTCAAGTAAGCAAGCTGTGTTTAAAAGTGCATATATATACTTACTATGTACCATAGGCACCAATCTAATATTCTCACTGCTATGCCACTACAGTTCAGTATGGATGTCACATCAGGGCGCCTGGTTCTAACCTCTGTTCTTACACCCCACCCTTTATCACCAGTCCAATATTTCATTCACAGAAAAGAAGCAGATATTCCTGCACTTATTACTATTATAGTACATGGAATTTTCTGCTGAATTATACTTGAATCATAAACTGTTGACACAGATGAGCAYCTGTTAACAGTAGCCACAAACCATCTCATTGGTTGGTCCCTGTGAAAAGCTGAGGAAGGTCTTTCTTTCCGGGCAGTGTGAAAGGGTCCAGCCACGAAACTTAATGTATTTGACTGCTGCTTATCACAGATTCTGACTTACCACCGGTGCTGCAAGTAAATCTATAGACAACTTCTTCCTCTCAACACGAACTCTGAAAAATTTGAGGAAGGAGAACTCTAGTTACGCTCCTGGTCCCAGAAAAAAAAAAAATGTCCATTCATTACATCAGGCTACACAAACCAAGTTCCAAGAGATGTCTCTCTGGTCATATGGGTATTTACACATCTCCCCATAGCCTCATGATGCTGTGTGTCCATCCTTAGCCCAGGCCTGGTGTCAGTGCTGGCACTGGATAAGCCAGCTCAGCTTCGCTGCAGCAGTGGTAGGATCTGCTCAGCCAAATGTGGGGCTATATCCCGGTTCTTTCTGCTGCCTACCCGCAGTATGGTAACCACAGCCCTGCACAGCTACATATGAGACAGGTAAGGCTCGGGGCAACAAATGCCACCCTCCACATGGCTACCTGTGGGAACAGACCAACATGTTGAATGCCCTGGGGAGACGTGGRCAGGCAGTGGTGACAGCAGAGCCCTGAGCACGTCTTGCCCTTGAGCATGACCAGAGGGCAGAGCCTGCCCTTCTCGGCAGGGAGGACTTGTCCTCTGCAGGTGCAAGGACCTTGGGCCACTAGCTTAGAAGAGACACTTGACTTTGCAAGGGCTGAGGTTCTGGTGATCCTTCCCTCCCTCAGACTCCACACCTGAAGATGTCCACGAGGTTCTTCCTTGAGTGGCTCTCCTGGTTTCAGAGAGACTCCTCCAGAAACTCCTAAAATGTTTCCTTGAAGAAGCTTAAGCTTCCTCCACCCCGTCATTTCTGCTGGCTGCCTGAACAGCAAAGGAAATCTGATTCTCTGGCCTAGAGCAACTATCTTCACACACAGAGCAAATGAGGCAGACTTGGGAAGACTTTTCCAGACTGGTTGGGGGCAAACAACTTGTCTGAGACAGAACTTCTGAAGTCAACTCACTAGAGTATTTTTTAAATTTCTATTTATAAATAGATACTGTTACAGAGTCAACAACAACAGGAAAGAACTAGATTCACTAATGCTTCACTTCACTAAAAACAAAAGATGAAACTGAATGTCTTTTGCTTTCTACAGTCAAGGAATAAAGTCCTTGAGTGACTTCTAGTTAATGGCACTGATATTAATAAAATACTTATTGATTTCCTCAAAGTACTTCTTTCTCTTCCAAAACACCGTGTTTGTGCTCAGTCTTTACTGAATTGCTAAAAAAGAATTGCAACATACTCAAGACAAATGGAGCTAAATTGTTATCACTGCAAAAATTAAAAACCATATTAGAAGACATTCCTTCAAATTCTGCACTTGCTTAGACTCATGTAACTCCACTGTAGTATATGCAGTTGCACGAAAACAAGAAAAAAACAGCAAAAATATGAAGTTTTATTTTAGTGCATAATGAGTAAATAACTACCAGTGATCTTTACTGTCTTCTAGTGATAGGTATTTTGTTTGTTTATTTTTGKTTTTTTTTCCCTGCAATTCTGAAATGCATTTTAAACAGAAAGTCTCCACTGGGTCATGTAAGGACTACTTAGAACTTCTGTTGCTGCTTCTCCCAAAGGGGAGAGGAAGGYACTGACCTTCCCTGAGGGACTTATKTTTAGGCCACCTCGAGAGATATTTTCTCACTGCCAGAGGATCCAAACGAGTCTTAGGGTAAGAGTGTGCAAGTGGTCTCCTCACTTGAATGGAGAACAACTSAGGTGAATGGGCCTTTGAATAGGACTTTTCTGCACTTCCAGGCCATAGCAGCTAAGGATGGGCTGATGATGTCTCCTTGGTCAACTTCCCCAGGGGAGCTCAAGCTCCACCAGCAGAATCGTCCTTCTGTGGAGCCTGAACATGTTCCTCAAGACAGTACAGGAAAGCGCAGCCTTTCCTTGGCTGGAGACATCTGTGCAGGCATGAGGACACAGCAGACAAGGTCTCTACATGTCCAGTCATGTGCAGGGGTGTAATATATGTAAGATAAACTGGGGGATCAGAGGAAGACAAGTGAAGGCAGGACAATGTCCCCCCTGCTAAAGCAGTGATGTTAATGAGCAAGTGCAGTGTGTGGCACAGGGCAGAACAAATCACAGCCCCGTTCCCACCATCTGACCCGAAGGGAGGACTCCCACGCTGAGATCTCACTCTGTAGGCTTATTCATTGCTTCACAAGTAGCAGAGAAAAGTCACGCTCAGTTAAAACTGAAATGTGCTTTCTTACATTTTTTTTTCCCCGTGGGCCAGATACTCTAGCCCCAATTTGGGCAAAAGTCCAATTCGAAATAATGAATGTAATTACCTTGTAAGCATCTTAGTGGAAAATATTGATGGAGCTAATTATACAGASATGCAATGCTAACTCGTTTCTCTGTATTTAAAATATAAATGCTAGTGTTTTTGGCTCTAGGATTTTCTGCAGCTTAGTTCCTGCTGGACAGTCTCAACAAATTTGTGTGTTTGGCAGCTATCACAATCAACTTAAAGAAAAAGTTTCCTATTATGATTTTATTATCATTGATCAATAAGGTATGAAAACAAGCATAGAACTGGGCTTTTGAATGCCTCTGTAAGGGTGGAGTGTTTTGCAAAGACCTTTAAACTTAAAAAATTTGAGATTTTTTTCTCAAATAAGTGATGTGTGGATTTGCAAGCTGAGGCTGATAAATTAATCTTTTTAAGTATCAGGAAAATGTGATATCCTTGGAGACAGGTAGCAAAAACACGGTGCTTGGACATCTTAAAAAACGCCTTTCAAAAATACCTAAATGAAAATCCTATTATCTTTCATTAAGGATTATATGAAACAACAGAATAAACTCATGGCAAGACTACAAGTGTGTAGTCTTGCGTTCAAAGTCCTTAAAATGCAAACCCAGGCTTTTCCATATTGTTTATGATTGACTTTCCCAGTGTGGAAGAGTGAGCTCCAGCCTATATGGTGGTGAAGGAGAAGCCCTACCTACAGCCCTGTAGGAAAAGCCCTACCTAGGTGAGCTTCAGCAGGAGGTTTACAGAGCCACCGTGAGTGTACGAAGCAGGAASAGCTGAATGTGGCCTGTTTGCCTTGATATTTGTTAACGTTTCGGAACAATCCAGCACATCCTAGCAAATATCCACGCACTGGATAAACAGAAGGGTTGGGGTCCTTCCTGTACCGCTGCAAAAGGAGTCAAGAGGATTTGCAAAAATACAAAACTGTCCTGAGGAGACCCTCAGGCAAAGCTGTAATGCAAAGAGATTTCTCCTGCAGGTGCTTAAGGGAGTTTTTTTGAAACAAAGGGAGACCTCAGCACCTTGGCATAGGCTTCACTGTTAGACAAAAGTTTGTGTAATTTATTTTCTACCAGACTGAGGAACACCTCAGACCTCCTAATCCCTGAGATGCTTCTTAGTAAGGGAGGAATGGAAATTACTTGAGGTAAATTGCAGGTGGGCACCATGGTACTCCTCACATATGATGCCAAAGCACCAGACGAAAGGGTTTAACCGGCACATGGCGCCAGGGAAAGGCTGCGAGGGGAACCCAGGCCAGCTCTACTCGCTGGTGGTGTTACCTGACGCCTTCTCCTCCCCTAAAGCTGCCCGTGATGCCGGTGCCTCCACCGCTGCCCACGGGGCCCACCCCGTACCAACACCGCCACCGTCCAAGGCAGGCGTCGCCACCAGCACCTGCAGAGGCCTTCGCGCTCCTGCCCCGAGCTCAGCGCCCAAGGCGCGCACCTCAAAGCGCAGAGGTGGCAGAGGGAGAAGGGGTGTAAGACGGCTGGGACTGCCCGGCACGGAAAGAACTGGAATTCACAGAATCACAGCAGGGTTGAGGTTGGAAGGGACCTCTAGAGATCGTCTAGTCCAACGCCCCTGCTCCAGCAGGGATACCCAGAGCATGGGGCACAGGGTGGCATCCAGGAGGGTTTGGAAGATCTCCAGAGCAGGAGCCTCCACAACCTCGAGTGAATTCCTTGCTTTACGTTGGGAACTAACGATTTGAAAGCCAAGCTACGTGTCTGAGGAGGCTGCTGCAGCCTACGCTGAAGCTCAACTTCCTGTTTCACAATCCAACACAGTCTGTCCCCAAGGCCTAGGCAGAGAACAAACGTTTAGGTCGCTTTGCTGAAAAGAAGCTCTGCTTGAAAATGAGCCCGACAGCCCCTGCAGCTTCAGTTCTCCGTGCGGGGTCCTTGTTATTYAAGTCGCTGCCCTCCCTCACCCCCACCAAGGGACTGACCCACAGCAGGGACCCCAGTCACCCCTCAGCCCCCAGCTCGGCCACGAGGGCAAGGAGGCCGATCAGCCCCATGGGTTTTGTCCCTCTGCAGAGGAAACTGGTTCCCCCAAGAGGAAAAAGAACCCCCCAGTCCTCCAAGAGGTGCCTGTCCTGCTTCGAGGACACCTTTGAGGCACCCTTGGCAAGCCAAGCTCCCCTGAACCAAAGCAACGCGCTCGCAGACATCAGCATAGAGTCTTTTAATATTTTACATAAAAAAACTGCATACACAATTCAGAGTTTTATGTAAACATCATATACATTTCATTGCTTTTGCCATGTCAGTCCATTAAAAACAGAAAACAGTCTCAGTACCACTGTCGGGGGAAGAAGGGAAGTAAACAAACACAAATGGATACGATTGTTCTCTGACCCAGAGAAACACAAGATTATTTTCACGCAGGCTTGCCACCCTGTGAAAATAAGTTTTAAATAAACCTAACTACTTTAAACTGCCCTTTAGTATCAAAGTTTGATGTACTCAATGCAYGAGGACCAGTGCTTTCACCCATTAGTCTCCCTCTACGTAAAGAAAGATACAGTGGTTTTATTTCCTCTTATGTCAAAACAAAAAGAAYCCATTTGAAACCCGGAGCCAGGTGAGGTTACCGAGCGCTCGCGATGCTACAGTGTTGTATGCAGATGACAAGTGCATTGAGTGTTTAATTTAGGAAAAAAAAATAAAAAATAAAACCCAACTTGTGCAAAGTAATTTCTTTTGAAAATAAACTCTTAAATAAACCCCTGTCAACATTTAGGCAGAAGACGACATTAAAGGAAGGCGCAGGCACCGAGATCATGGTGTATGGCAAGGCCACCCCCTCCCCTTGCGTGTCCGGCTCAGCCCGTGGGGAGGARGAGGATGAGGATGTCCAGCAGGAGGATGAAGCCATGCGGCCTCTCGCTCCGCAGCCTTGATGCCGGGTCCATCCGCRGCTCCCGTGATCAGCAGGCACCTCCGGGCGAGGCCCCCGGGCACCCCTCCCCACGCACAAAGCACCCCGGCTTGCACGAGACAGAAAAGGTGAGCTATATACACAGGGCTGGGGCGGCCGGCGGGGTCCCGGGGGCTGCTCAGGGCCGCGGGGGCTCCCGTGCTGCAGGGGCGGCCCCTATAGCACTTTGCAGCAGTTGATGCAGCCGTTCTGGGTGCCGTAGCGCTTCTGGAGCGCGGCGCGCGTGGCCGTCTCGAAGACCTCGCGCACGCCCTCCTTGGTCTTGGCCGAGCACTCCAGGTAGTCGTAGGCCTGGATGCGAATGGCCATGGCGCGGCCGTCCTCGGTGCGCACGGGCTCCTGCTTCATGCGCGCCAGCTCGTTGCGCACGTGCTCGTCGTTGCGCAGGTCCTTCTTGTTGGCCACCAGGATGATGGGGACGTTGGGGCAGAAGTGCTTCACCTCGGGCACCCACTTCTCCGGGATGTTCTCCAGCGAGTCCGGGCTGTCCACGGAGAAGCACATGAGGATCACGTCGGTGTCGGGGTAGGAGAGCGGGCGCAGGCGGTCGTAGTCCTCCTGGCCGGCCGTGTCCCAGAGGGCCAGCTCCACCTGCTTGCCGTCCACCTCGATGTCGGCCACGTAGTTCTCGAACACGGTGGGCACGTACACCTCGGGGAACTCGTCCTTGCTGAAGACGATGAGCAGGCAGGTCTTGCCGCAGGCGCCGTCCCCCACCACCACCAGCTTCTTGCGGATGGCGGCCATGGCCAGGCTCGCCAGGCTCGCCTTGTTGTGCAGCAGGACGATGGCAGCGCCCTCCTCGCCGCGCCCGCCTCCCTCCGCCTTGTCGCGGGGCACCGTGGCGAGCCGGCGCCCGTGCGGGCAGGCGCGCGGCCCCCGCGCGGCCCCGGCGTCTGCACGGCGGGCCGAAGGGCTCCCAGCGGCGGGAGAGCTCCCAGCGGTGCCGCTGCTGGTGGTGCTGGTGCTGGTACCGCCCGCGCTGCCGGGGCGCCCGCACACGAGCCCGGTGCTGTCGCTGCCGCCACTGCCGCAAGCTGCGCCCGGCGCCGCTATTTAAAGGCGCCGGCCACTTTCTTAATATAGCCAGCCAATGGGAGCGGAGCGGGTGAGGTCATCGCTGGCGGCGAGCGCCGCCATTGGCGGGGCGCGGAGGGCGGGGTCGCGCGGGAGCGGCCGCGCCGGGGAGGGGGGAGCGCAGGGGCGCCCGGCTCGCGGCGAGCGGGCGGGGGGAGGGGGCGGCGGGGGCCGCTCGGGCCGGGCCTGTGGGGCCGGGGCGCCGTGTGGGGCGGAGGAGCCGGGAGCCCCTCGGGGTGGGCTATGGAGCCGCGTTGTGGGGAGGCCGGGGCCGGGCCGTGAGGGGAGCGGCCCGGGACCGTGAGGGGAGCGGCCCGGGACCGTGAGGGGAGCGGCCCGGGACCGTGAGGGGAGCGGCCGGCTCCCTGAGGGCGCCGGGCCCGGCGCTCCCTGCCCTGTGGCCCGTGGCCGCGCACGGAGCCGGCCCCGGCTCAGCCGGGAGGAAGCCGCGGGAGCGGCGCTGCCTCCACGTCCCGGTTTAAAGCCCAAGCGAGCGGGACGGGGATTGTGTCGAGCGGCTGGATAAAACAGCAGCGATCCCTGGGTATTTCTGAAAAAAATAAAAAAGAAAGGAAAAAAAAAGAAAAAATCACAGGGCTCGGCCGCTTTCCTTCTGAAAAGGAAGGAATTTGTCATGTTTTGAGTCTGTCTCCTGCCAGCTTCTCGACCAAAAGGGAGCCGAGGAATCGCGAGCCGGGAGGAGCAGCCGATGTGAACTGAGATGCCCTCTCGGTCTCAGTTAGCAGAGATAGCCGAAGTTGCAGTAAGAAAAATTAACAAAAAAGTGGAAAAAAAATGAGCGCAAGAAGCGGGCGTTTCGGCCTGCTCGGAGGATGGGGTGTCGCATCCCAGGATGCCGGCAGAGAYGTTGGTGAATGGAGCCAGGATAACTTGGCCAGGGTGGTTCCACCTGTGCAAGAAATAAAAAATGCACTGAATGATCAATGAGCAGTCTGGCAGGCTGCCTTCGGTGGACTGCTGCAAAAGTGTGTTGTCATTAGGGCAAATAAGTGGTTATGGTTCACTTAATGCTACACAGCRAAACATAATTCATCTTCCACCAGGGTTTTTCTAATTCCCCTCTCGCCCCGTCAAAGAACACATCTATGGGCAGTGGTGAATTTGATGACTGGGATGATCGGTTCCATCTCTAATGCACAAGGTAGTTTAATACCCTGATTTTACCTTGATTTTTGTGCACTTGTGTAGCATCTTTCACATGAAAGATTTCATCGATGCACATGTGCACTTTGCAGCTTTAAGGGAAAAAATAAATACAGGCTGTGRGGTTGGAAATGTGCAAGTGGATACGCTAGGTTCGAGTTGACATTTGACAGAACAAGCAACTGAAAATGCGGTCACATGCATGGATGTTATCCAGCACCTCTGACCTTTTAGTGGGGGAGACTTCTGCTCCGCATTGGCCCTTCATATGGCCGATATGGCCTTCATATGGCCACCACTCACAATTTTAAATTCTCCACGAGCTGGAAGTGAGCTGTGTGACAAGGAGATCTTCCTCATGCCACCCCCTGCTTCTTACRTCGCAGTCGCAGCTCGTAGCTGTTTTCTCTGTAAATATAATCACAGGCGTGGAGACCCTCTGGATAGGCAAAYAGAGTTACTTGGCTGTATAATGTAAATGTTTTAACTACATCTGCTGTTTTTCTTGCAGCTCTTCAGGAATAGTAAAATGATGCATTTTACGCTGGAGTTCAGTGCCACCTTGTGGCGTGAATGCCCCTGCTCCTGACGGGCCCGARACATGAAAGCCAGGGGGAAGGGGCAAGGGGAAAAGCTGCAGGTATTTTATAGATGGTGGTGGCTGTTGTTTAAGTGCATTTTTGGCATACTTTTCATGTGGCTTTTGGGGAGAATGCACCCGTTCCAAAGCACCCRTTGCAAAGTGCACAGCTCTGCTGGCATCACGTGTGCCCCAGCATGCAGGAACTGAGCACCGAGTCCGGTCATGCCCTCAGACTCTCATAGACTTCAGAATGGGGCAGCCTCATCTAAACCACCCGCCGRGGGTCAGCTCTGGTCCCAGCTTCCAAGCTACGCTCAGAAAATTAGCAGCAAAGCTTTAGTGGGCCTGAGTCCAGCCCATGCCGGGAGCCTTTGGCAGTGCGGCTGCGGTGCCAGTACCTGGCTACGGCCTAGGGGTAACTGTTGAACCTAATTTTGCAGAAGTCCATGCAGTGCCTTGACCTAGCAATTGGAGATGCCTCCACGGGCCTCGTGCAGGGCCGCCCAGCCCTGGGGCTCCCCTGCACCAAAGTCCCCCTCACTCCGCTGTGCTTGGACACGCTCCAGAAGCGGTTCCTACAGGCAGCATCAAGGACGCTGTAGTGACCATGCACTCCAAGTTCAATGTCCAATGCACATGATGCTTGCTGGTGACCTGGGCTTCGGGCCTATTGGAAATCTGCTACACGCTGCCTTTGTCCTGCAGTGGATTAGCCCATAAATATTATCTGAAAGCCATGACATGAATCCCCAGAGCCTCATTTTTTACTGAAGTTACAGAAAGCAGTAATGTGGTACCTGTAGTAATGTGGTACTGAGCTGACTCAAAGTGAGCAGACCTCTAGTTCACATTATCATTTTGGTTATATTTGCTTCTCTTTTCTGGAATATCCTTTCTTCAGATCATACCCAAAAGCATGAGGTGAGCCAATTTGAGAGACAGTGGAAATCAAGAGAGGAACTGTACAGAGGGATCCTTTTCTCTTCCTGCTTAGACCAGTGCATCAGGGCAAACAAAAATCTGGTCAGAATCCCAGTCTGTGAGTGCAGCAGAAGGGGAAGCTGCTGCAAGACAGAGCACAGCAAAWGCTGCTGTGTGGAAGTGCTTAAACTTATGGTAACTGAGAGCAGAGATGGAAAATCTGGGGGAAAAAAAATGAAACTAGGCTCTGGGTTGAGGAGTCTTTCTCTTCTCTCAAGGGGAKTTTGTATATGCCTGATTCTGTATGCAGGCATTGTCTGGAAAGGACACGGGAGAGTAGCCAGCTCATATATTTTAGGGCCAAATTTGAGGCTTATGTTGTGATTTTTATATATCTTGCTCAAATTTACATGATATACTGAATAATACTTCTTGAGCAAGTTTGAGCTTCACTTCCAGTAATCCCCAAATGTAAACTATCCGACCAGAGAATTTATTAGTTGTGCTGCACCACATGTATCGGTGTGGTGGATGAGGCAATATGAAGCAGGAGTAAGGAGACATTGCTGCTTTGCTTTCACTGCTTGTGCTTGCGGTTTTGAGATAAAATCTCGGCCTTTTGTTTTTCACATGATTTAATCCAATTGGCATTTTTCGCTAAAGAAGACAATTCCAGTGCAATTACTGGAGATTGTTTCCAGATCATATGCCCCCCTGTTCTTTTTCCTAAGCAGATTTTGTAAAGGGCACGTCTGTAATTCAGATAATTTGTGCTCAAGCATAAATCTGTACCCAGAGCATGAAAGCCCAGCAGGGAATGTAATCTCTGCCTATTCTGTCAATACGTAGACAAGTAAGTGCACTGGGCACAGAGGGTGCCGTACGTACCAGTTGTAGTGAACCAAGCCCTTCATGCTGACTTGTAATGCTAGCAACAGGCATCCTGCAGCTCTCACCACTCCTCGTGCAGGAAAAGCCTCTTAGTGAAGTAAGGAAAGCAGGAGGTAGCTAAATACGAGCAGTTCACAGGCTGCTGGAAAAGCTCTGGGTGGATGTGGGGGACAGGCCCCACAGAAAAAAAAAAGTAGAGTTTAATTCTCAGATCCTCTTGTGAGCAGAGCTCTCAGCAGAGAAGCTGGGCTAATCTACCTAGAAACTGGTAGAGACTTGCCAGGTTCAAAAGAAGGAGTGGAAAAGGCCTGTGTGGATTTGAAGCAGAGGTTCAGGCTAAGTACAGCACAGGTGAAAGAAAGCACGTGCCAAACAAGAAGTGGCTTTATGAGCTTAGGGGCCTCGCTGGCATTGCTCTACCCAGGGAGTGAAACAAGTCAGAATCGAATCTCTTTTGTTTTCTCAAGTTATTATTAAATTTGGGTTTTAGTGGCAAGTCTATCAGAGGTATATTTGAGTAGTACTCTGGAAATATGGTGTGGCAAAGTAAAATTAGATCACCATAGAAAACTAAAGTGCCCTCAGGCCTCCAACTCACTCAAACAAAAAGCAAGATATTAAGTTCATCTTTGGGCTAAACCCTTAATCTCCTATGAAGAACTCTTCAGTAACTATGTTTAAACATGGGTAGAGCTCATGACTACATGCCAGCAGTTAAGTATCTGCGTCACCATTTTGCTTTTACAGTCACTTTGCTCTGCAGAGAGACCAAATTAAGCTACCTTGGCTCCCTTTTTCCTTAGTTTTTAGAGCTTGTGAGCACCTTGCAGTCTTTGTCTATCAGGGAAACTGAGACAGAGGCAAAAGCAATGACTTGTGCAATGCTAGCAGGATAACAGGGAACTCCATCTTCACCTCTGAGGCCCAAGATGGTTCACACTACTGCTTAACTTGAACACAGTTCTTTCCCTACAGACTGTTGCCTTGACAGGCTTCATTTCACTTCTGTGAGGGTGATCAACACTGAAGTAGGTTTCGCAGAGAGGCCAGGGAGTCTCTGTCCTTGGAGATGTTCAGCGGGACACAAAGCCCTGAGAACCTGTTGCAGTTGGCCCTGCTCTGAGCAGTCGGTTGGACCAGATGATCTCCAGAGATGTCTTCCCAGCTCAGTTGTTCTGTGATTCATCTCCCTAAGATACCTCAGCAGATCTGGAAAAGAGTATCCTGCAGCTCTGCCTGGCAGGACTTTGATCTCCATCTGCTTTACTCGCTAGTCCTCAGCCCTCTGCACAAAACCAGTTTGCCACACTGGGTACTGAAGTACTCAGGATGAAACTTAGGTCTTTTTTAATACCAGTGGGGAATTTCTAAAGCAAACGTGCTGTGATTCATCGATGGATTGTGTAACTTGCACTTTATTGTCAGCAAAGTGGGTTTCTTTTAAGAGGCATGATCTCATCCAGTTCTCTTCGTAGATTGGTTGGCTAAAYTTAGAAACATCAACCTGTGCCTTTAAATGCAACGTTCATCATAATGGTGTTTGTAAAGTGGTGGTGAGTCTCTATATAGGCCAATCTGTGACCTGTGGAAACTGAGATAGTAACAAGATTGGAAGAAACCAATCTAATACTGAAAATCAAGAAAGGAAGATTGGTGCTAGAAGTTACTGACTTGTAAGTCTATCAAACTTTCATTTTGTATGAAATAGAAATGAATATATGAAGAGAGAGATCATTTTCTTAATATGACATGAAAGCAGACCTCTGAACAAAAGCAGCATGGATTTACAAAGGGTAGCTATTGCCAGTGGTAGAATTTCACCATTTCACCATGGTAGACCATGGTGGAAAAAATGTAGGCAATAAAATCTATTTGGATAGTTGTTCCACACAGTATTTTATATTCCATCTCACTTACAAAATTAACTCATTCAATCTAGAAAATGAAATCTGCTATGAATTGAACACTGGCCATAAACAGTGTGAGAGATGATAGGACACTGCAGGAATCTTGGTTGCATCCAGACTTGTTTTTATCTTGAATTTTTGAAGCATAAAAATAATCAGGAGCAAGCTAGTCACACATTCAGAACATTTCAGGAACAGAAGGGCAAAAAAAGGGGAAGACAGATAATACASATGTATGGAGAGACAAGATGAAATAACCATAATAATTCCAATATGAAGTAACAAGAAGAAAATAATTCTTCTCTTCTAGTCCTCACAAAAGCAAAAACCTAACAACTAACCAAAGAAAAACCCCAAAGTCAATGTATTAATTCATTTTACACTTCAGGTTGGTTCTCAAGGCTTGGCTGCTCTTAGGAGGAAGCTAACTCTGTTGGGAGATGGTGCTGTGATAAGATTTGCCTCCTCTTTGCTCTGCACCATGAACAGTTCCCTAAATGCTACGAGCCAACTGTGTTTGACACCGACACGCTGACATTGAGGCAGAGGGGAGGAAGGTGAAGCTGAAAATCTTTGATGTCGCAGGGACAGATGAGGCCAGTTACCAAAATCTCCACTCTGTTTCCTATCAGGACACAGACTTTATTTTTTGTGCTTTTCTGTGGATAGGCTAAGCTCACTGCAAGACATCCTTGATATGTGGGTTCCAGAAATCAAACTCTCCTGCTCCACAGTGCCTATTATTCTGGTGGCTACYAAGAGCTAAGGGATGATGACTGCATCAAGAAGAAAGTAGCCACTTTGGGCAAAGAGCCAATTAGCACWGCTAAATAAATCTTTGCCTGCCAGCACTGGGACATGTGCTTACCTGGAGTGCTGTGCCAGGACAAAAGAAGGTGTTGATGCAGCCTTGGAGATTATTAGCCAATGTGTGTTAAATGAGAAGAAGGAGTARAAAGAGGTATCAGAGGTCCCCCCGAATTTTCTAAGAGGAGTCGATATTATTTTGCTGTTGAATTTCATTCTGTGGAAAGTTAGGTAGGTTTCTTCTGTTCTGTGGATATTTTGGGGGTTACTCTTTATGATACAGAAGGAAAAAAAAAATGAGTATCTGGCTGATAGAAAATCTGAAAATCCATCTTGACAGATGGAGATGGCCAAGCTGCGTCCTTCCAGTGAGGTCCTTCAGCCATGAGGTACGTACATCAGCTAGAGCAGGACCCGGAGCAGCACTGCTGGGACACTCACAAGAACATGGAATTGAGTGAATCAAAGCTCAGCTCCTGCTATCAGGACTCCCTGGGAAGCAGCTGTGATGACAAGACTTCCTCGTGCACTGACTGCTTCAATACGCTTCCTCCAAGGATGTCCCTAGGAAAAGGAGGCTCCGTGTAGGTATGCAGTAATCCACTGTGGGTAATAGCAGTGGGTTTATGACTGGCAGAACTGGTCTGACTTTCTCCAGGACTCATCCACAGAACTGGCCTGGGCTTGAAGCTGTAAGTTCATTAGGGATGCACCTACGGAGTGCAATAAAGGCTGTGTTGCCTCCACCTCTTCTTCAGCACAGGGAAATAAACCCAGTTAAAAGAGCCTACCTCTGGGTTAGGATGATCTGTTTTTTGATAGAATTCCGACCTACAGAGAGAAGTTTGAGGGCTCTGGTAAAAAAAAAATAAAATAAAAAAATTAAAAAAAAAAAAACACTTTAAATTTTAAGCCTCTTTGTCCCTGTGCTCTAAATGTATCTTAAATCTTTTTTTTTCTCTCTTTATAGACCTTGAAGACAAAAAGATTTGGACTAAAGGCAATGCCAGCAACTAGACTCTGAGCTTTGTAAGTCGTTAACAGTCTGGAAACAGCCTAAGCAGGGAATCTCAGAAAGGTGCAGACRCCGACCCAAGTGGAAGGACCCGGGGTCCCCTCCGCACTCCTGGCTCCTCTGAAGCTGCTGCTGCTGCCAGTGCAAGGAACCAAATTATGGATTCGCATTAAAGGTGCAACACTGGGAGCTGGTAAATAATGTGAATGCAGCGTCTGCAAGGACACACGCTGTGTGTCAGTAAGTGGATGGAAAAGAATTCTAAGGTGAACTCCTTAGGATGCTGAAATGAAGGGACAGAGCTGGCGGCRCCTGACTGCCATGGACCAGGGGCGTGCTATAGACCAACTCTTCCTTCACTGGCTATCTCAGTGGTGGTTTCCTCACGCTGGCAGCTTGGTTACAGTTCCCCAGGAGGAAATAAAATGAGAGTAAATGCAAATTTCTAAACTGATTATGCTGCCTGCAGCTGTACGCTTAGCAAACTCGCTTTCCCAGATGAGAGACCAAGTAAAATGCACTCCTAAGATATGTATTACCCATTCTTCCCACCGGTATTTGTCTGTTGATGGTATCATGGGTAGAAATGCTAGGGCTGGTCAAGTATTCATGATTGAATAGGTWGTTGTTTTCCTTCTGTATTAGTTTTCAACTGCAGCTTTGAAATCCTCAGTCTTACCATAGCATAACAACAGATTTCAAGGGTGATACTTTACAATTTTAAAACTCTCTTTCTTCCCAGAATCTCAGAGCACTTTTCAACATGAATTAGCAACCCACCTCTTGGTAATAAGTAGATGTTTTTTCCATTTTCAAAAATGAGAAATTTAAACTGCATGAAGATTAACTGAGCTGCCTAAAGTAATTGCAAACCATTTACTTCCTGGAGCTTCCTTTTCTTGACTATGTTCCTTGCCCTTTCCTTTTTCTCTCCAGGACCATTCTCAACCTTCATTTCCTTTCCCCTCTGTTTATAATAATGCTCTCAATGCAACCTGATAATGTTCCCAAATTTAGAAACGAAATCTTGTTCTCCCCTTGCAGCTTGGATGTGAGTTTATGCTGTGCACAAGTGCTCTCCTGATTCAGGTAATAACACACATTAGTGCATTTCAAAGAGCCGTATTTATGTAGATGGCTTTAAATTGTTATTTCCATTTTATATATTTGTGTGTGGGTGGGGAGGATTAGGCTGCAGATAAGTTAAAGCACACAGGTGTCTCAGGTGCCTCTGATGTGGGGTATTGAATTGGAGACAGTTTTGCAAAGATGCCAAGCACTTTCTGCTCCCACAGCTTTGGAAGTGGAGACCACTCTGAGCTTATACTGAGTGTTTCTCAGCAGAACACTGGCCAGCACATTGTCTGGTGTCTGTTTTTAATCTAAATCAACAGGTATTTTCCTTCAGAAGGGTGCTTTGYTCAAGATAAAGGTAATTGCTTTCACTGTCAGTGTATCTCTCTGAATTAAACAGTTCTTATATTGACCTTAATATCTGTTTCTTAAGATTAACCTTTTTTGTTTTGTTTTTTAATTGTGAAATAAAATGCTGGCAATCTATCTCTTTCCACAATATAACTCTCTCTAACTGGAAAAGAGAAATTTCTGGGAGTTTTTTGGATATCACTTATGCTTTAACTGTCCAAATTCTGGTTTTGACATTTTTTCAAAAATCCAAACGCTGTTTCTTTTTACCTGTCTCAGAGCACTTTTGCCATAGCAGGTTACTAGCYGACTCTTCAAGAAATCCTTCAGATAATTGTCCACATTTTACAGCATGGTTCCCATGAGAAATCCACAGACTGGATTGTTTCCTGTTTTCTTTTTGCATTTGCATAGGGATTCAGAAAGAAGAGGACATAGACAATAGAGCATTAGCCTAATAGAGCTATATCTGGCTTTCCTGCTCTGCAAGCCTCCCTTATGAATGTAAAGAGACTGTGTATGTTCACTCTGCAGAGTCTTTGGAAGGAAGAAGTCATATCCCTATGGTCTGATGGAGCACGGACCTTATGAGGAGCAGCTGAGGGAGCTGGGGTTATTTAGCCTGGAGGAGAAGAGACTCAGGGGAGACCTTATTGCTCTCTACAACCACCTCAAAGGAGGTTGTAGTGAGGTAGGGGTGGATCTGTTCTCCAGAGTAACTACAGAAAGAACAAGAGGAAATGGCCTCAAGTTGCACCAGGAAGCTTCAGGATAGGCCTTAGGAAGAACTTCTACACGGAAAGAGCGGTGAAGCACTGGAACAGGCTGCCCAGGGAAGTGGTGGAGTCACCATCCCTGGTGGTTCAAGGAAGGTGTCGACAAGGTGTTTAGGGACATGGTCCAACAGGCAGGGTGTTGAAGCGTTTACAGTTGGACTCGATGCTCTTGGAAGTCTTTTCCAACCATAATGATTCTACAGTTCTATGATTCCCATTTCAGATGATGTCTCTGTGATCCTCTGCAGGCAGCGGTGCACACAGACCCTCCGGGTGCTCTTGCATCCCCTCCAGGCCTGCTGCAAGGGGCTGGATTCAGACTTGTACAGACTCAAGCAGAGCCACAGGAGAGCCAGATAATCTGTGTGAGACTGGCATTGGGAATGTGTCCGTCTGTACAGGCACCTATGCCTGAAAATCAGGAATAAAAATCAACAGTGATGAATCCATGTGGAATGAAACTTCCAGCAGTCAAAATCAAGGCTGAACTTGAGCCAAAAGCCCTGTTCACTAACTAAGGCAAGTTGYCCTCCCAGTGCTGGGGAGGAGAAGGGAAAGGGGAAAACATAGACTGTTTTACCACAAGTATTTTTTTATAATTCTGTCAACTTAAATATAAAATATGACATTTTTTGTTCAGGAGAATTAAAGGTAAAGAAAAGAAGAAGCACTATGGAAGAGAAGACCAAAATTAACAGAAGGTTCACATATCATTCAACTGATGGGTGAAATACAYTCTTTTTTTTCCCTCACAACAGTTTAAGACAGATGTTCAATTGAAACAGCACGGGACATTTATACTAAATTAGGTGAATATGATCATATGCACGGCAATTAAATGAGAGCTTTTTTGAAGTTTCAGTGAAGCAATTATGCAAATAAATGCTGCTTATGGCTTTCAGTTAAATGAAAGAAAAATAGAGAAAAAGAAGGGAAGAAAGAAAAGTAAAATAAAGCAGGAAAGAAAGAAGGACTGAAAAGAAGGAAAGAAGAGGGAGAAAGAAAGAGAAAGGAAAGAAGGAAGATAATATCCATACCTAGCAATAACCAGATGTTAGAATAATTTTACAACTTTAGTGCAAGGACAATTTATGTATTTCATGCAGTAGTGTTGTAGTACCTGGGAAGGGAGTGTAGTCATCAAGACRAGGTTTGTAGACAAGCTGACTTTGCTGGAAAAGAAGCAGATGGGATTTTGGACATTCGTGTCTTCAATTTCCTTTTTTCAGATTTGATCTGATATCTTTGCCTGTCATTTCCTAATAAATTGGAAACGGAGCCACAACAGAATTTGGGTAGGAACATATAAGCTTCAGTATCATTTATGAAATGACACATTATAGGGCTTTAGCAAAAACATATGACAACAGCACACCATACAGGGCTCTGGGAAGAAGAGAAGTATAAAAWACTCATTGCCCTTTTTGGAGTGCAGTAGAGGAAAGGTAAAATGTCTTGCTTTAGCAAAACCATCCTTCGCTTTGTATTTGCCTCCTATGTCCATATTAGCTCTTTGTTGCAGTTGTGTTCTACCTGTCTACCTACTMATTCACCCATTTATTCAAGACTATCATCAGCCAGGAAACATGCTAAATTTTATGAAAAGAAATTCTCTTAGTACTTTGTCTCAAGTTTCTTCATAATATCTTGCCACTTAATCACATTCATTTTCCAAAATGTGCTGCATCTGATTTAAATAATTTATCAGCTTAGAGTGTATCTCAGCAATCACTCACAGAATGACAACTGATACAGAAGCCTATAATTTATTACTGTGTTTTGATGGAAATAAGGGACTGGATCGTGTTATTCCTCCATGGGAGCTCATAATGGGGTGTGAAAGAGCAGACAGACTAGAATTTTATTTGCCAATCTAAATTTGATGTGTCCTAAAGCCTTGAAAGTGTCCGTATCCAGTTTGATTTCTGCTAGTGGACATGTGTGTCACTGAAACTGCCTTGATACTGCTGATGTATTTGTATCTCCAGCTCACATGTAGGATCTGATGGACTTTCCAGC